GCAGTTCAGTATTGAAGCTTTTTATAGACGCTGAATTTTCTAGTTTCCATCTCAAAAAATCTACTAGTTTCCTTCATACATGAATTTATTCTTGCCTGTTCATTGAAAAGAGTTAAATATACAGATACCCCGTTGTTGATTTATATATACTTATCTTATTTTATCATCAATAATTTTGTGATTTCTTGCAGATAATTTTACTTACAAAAAATCTTATGAAAATATTCTATCAGCATTCAAATCGGTTTGTGTAAATCTGAAATTGAAAAATATGGTAGCTTACTTTGGTCTTTTCTTTCCTTGCTTGCTGTCTCGAAGAGAAGAAGTCTTGCAAATGTGCATCCGTCTTGCTTGCAGTTACTTTTATAGGCAATATCAAGATAACGATCCACCTTAGCACCTGTGAGCAGATGTCATCACTCCTTGCCGAGTCCGCAAACCCAGGTGACGATAAAAAACCAAGATGCTGAATTTGAGCAAAGCCACGTGCAAAATATTGTTTACCATAATCAAATCACCGTCAACCATTGCAGAATCGCATTCAACATCGACAAACTGGGTGCCTGTTCCGTTTCCTTTTTGCTGTGATGTCATCAAGGTATACGACCTTTATCAGATTGGTGAAATATTATTCACCGTATTGGTTTTGTTTATCTGCCCAAAACTGTATCATAACGGTACCCTGCATTTAGAAACACCAGAATTTAGCAGATATCATTAGGTTTGTGTTAAAAAATTAATAAGTGTTTTTATCTAATCGTGGTATCGTCCCCAAGTTTGGCTGAACTGAAAATTACGCTATCATCAATAACTAACTTTTTCTTGCATCATCGTCTGTAATTCACTCTTTTGTATGATTGCCTTATTGTGTTACAGAGAATCTGTCAGCTCTACTTTGTTATAGTAGTCATACCAAACTTGTAAAGAGGCATTTTTAGCTAACAAGACGGCTTTCTCCGATTGCAGTACCGTTTCTAGAGAATACATTTATACCTTTCTTGTACATAAGATTGTAACATCTGCATTGATAAGGTTGAGTCTAGTTTAATGCGAAAAAGAATGACGTGTTTTATTGTAAATTGGTAGAACAGTATTGCTTTCATTGTAGGTATGAAAGAAAGAACTTTTGCTCTTGTAAAATCCTCTTGTTCAGGAAATTATTGATTTGGTCCAGAAGCATGTAAGCAATTGTGTAAAAAATCTGAAAATAGCTTTTTGACAGTTTATCTCAAATAATCGTTTTATTAACAAACAGTTATTGCTTTTGTACATGATCTACCCTTTCTGAGCTCTTTGCATTTTAACCTTGGCTGACAGCCAAAACAAACATATTCTACAATTTTTTTAGCTCTGGCTACGTCATGCAAAGGCTAACAAACGTCAGACAGCTAGAATCACAAGGTCTTCTTGCAGCCCAAAAGAAATTTAATAACCTTAATATGTGAATAATCAGCAAATTGTAAAATGATAACGAATAAAGCAGGCAAATACCGGATGGAATAGCATTGTACACAACCAAACAGTACATTAATAATGTAGCTAATGTTGCCTTTATGGAAGAGCGACGTTCAATCCTCAATGACCTGTTTAGTACTTACATAAGCAAACACGACAAATCGGAGCTGCATAATCACAAAGAATAATGCAATGACAATTTAAAAATACGCTGTTTTACATCAGGCAACTGCCATGTTGGTCTACCAATTATGAAGTTCATAGCCCATTTTGCCGTTTTCTTTAGAAGATCGGATCTCCTAATTAGAAATGCTGTAGTCATCATCAAACGAAAACAAATACTGATAACTCAAACTTCTTTTTCGAGCAAAACAGCTTGGTTGACAGTTGAACGAATCAATTAGAGCATGCACGAAACATTAAAGTGTATGATTAGGGTATTTACGACAAAAGAAGCTGCCGTCTGTCAATAAATTTGCGCCATTGTCTGTCACTTGTCTTCAAAAGATCAAAGGGTGCTCTCTGCTAGACTCACTGATTTTATCAAAACTTTTTTTAAATATTTCTGAGATTTTTCATAAGTTCTAAATTCTTTGAAGCAACTGACGCGATTACATATAACAATTTATGAGGTGATCTTCTTTTATGTTGATGATGTTTTAAGGTTGGTTTTAATTGAGGAGGAAAAGAACGTATTCACACTTTAAGAAAGAAACCTTAATGTATAAGGAAATATCTATATATTGATACTGGAAAACTCTCGATCAAGTTACACTTGTACTCAATGAGCTCAGTTTCATGACAGTAAGCGCATTGATAAATCAGAACTTTTTTCATTCTTCAGCCTTAACTGGCTTCCTAAATCTGTCATCAGGACCCTTGATTCTTGGGCGTAAGATGTTTAGTATAAATATAAACCTTCCTGTAGCTAGCCGTTTACAGAAAATGTAACACATTATTTGTCATTCTGGAAATCAGGGTATTATCTTCTCCGTGACCGTGTGACCATTGATCACAATAAATTTACAGTTTGAACATTTTTCTCACAGAAAATTTTGAACCATGGATAAATAATTAAACAGCTTCATACACTTTGCAAGAAGTTAGGCAGTTTTGAAGGAAATAAAATGTTCGCAGGAAATCGCTTCATTACACTGAAATAGATCAAAACTGATTTAGCGCAGTGATATTGTATTAGGGGAGCTCAAAGGGTTCAGCTTCTCTTGCAAAAGAAATAAAACACTTTTATGAATGTTTTAATACAGGCTATACAGAAAGTGCTATACAGAAAAAACCGACCTCCTAAATCATATGTATTTTTCAAGAAGTTCCTGCTTGCACTTCATCCTCAACGCTAAAGATTCAGCTCTTTTGAAGTTTTTGGAATCACTAAATCGCTTCATTCAGCAAGACGCAGGAATTGCCATTTTAATATTTTCCAGTCGCTTGTCTACCTTTTGAAACAGTTTTGAAAAGTTTTCTGCTGGCTTCGCACGCAGTAGACTTCATCTTTTGCGTCTATCTCTAGGACCTCCGAATGGGAAAATTACTTTTGTAATCTGAAATTTCGATTTTACTTAGGTGATTCTTACTTGTATTCAACAACATAATTTTATCGCATAATTGACATCTACAAACCACAAATTCCAAACAAATTCAGCAGGAGATTTTTTTCAAAAAGTTTACGGTCACAAGAGGTCTTAAAAGAAGTAACAGCCAGCTTTAAATCGTAAAGAAAGTTTTTCGGTGCCCTTTTCGACTTCTTTTACTAATCTTGGAGATTCATCGAACGTGAAAGATTCCTATCTTTTTGGTTTAGAATTAGCACCTGGCTGACGCACTGCACAATCTAATTTTTACTACAACAAATTAATTATTTATTCGCTTTGATCATTTGATTCTACTTCTTCACCCATTCCATTCATCAGAAAGGCAATCTCTTTTAAGATTTTCTCTCAGGACCTACCTCCAAAAGATGGGGGCTCTGGTATCTTAATGAGGAAACTTAATTAACTCCAAAAAACGAACAAACTGCGAAATCAAATTAAGATGAGTTAACCATTTTGACAAAATTGCAAGACTTGTAACAGATTATCTGATTGATTAATGAACTTTTTGGAGACTATATTCCATTTGCATAACAAATGATCAAATCAATGTCGATAAAAATAAAATACGAAACAAATTCAACTTTTCTTGCTCTCTATGAACAGGTAGAATTACGATTATTCGCCGTCTATGAATTACGATATATGTCAACAATTACAAACTTATAGCCAAGGCCACTATTTTTGTCGTGTTAACTTGGTCAATTTTGTATGAAAGTTAAACTTAACAGAAATGTGATCAAATTAGTTGGACGTCTTGCCACAAAGCCTACCAAATAAAACCTGGTTCAAGTAAGAATCGGGACGTACGGGGAAGTGATCTTTTCCAAATGGAACTCATTTCTGTTTGACAGGGAAGTCGGCGATGTCGGGAATGCTGATAAAAACACGAATACACTTGTCCTGAGAACGAAGGAAGCAGGAGATTAGCCGATTTCACTGGTTCTTGTGACTGTTAAGACAAGTGTGAACCATGCTTTAAGCTAAATATGCAGTTGAACTATTAATTCAATTGTCTTATTTTTTGTTGTCAGCTAAGAATCTTTAATGACAACAGTATGTGTCCTTTTCTTTCGCGAATTCTATTATGCTTCGACTTGATTTGCTACTCGTTGAGGACGATACAAAGAATTGAACAAAATGCAAATTTCAAGCGATATTTTCGACCATTTTTGACCATTTTTGACCCAGTTGTGGCCCATCGGCAAAAATTTTTATCATTCTAACTACATTCATCACAAATGTCTTGAATATACTTTTTCAGCATATGAAAACAAGGACTATAGATTCTAAATGTAATTAAAGAAAAATTGTGCAAGGGAAAAAATGCAAAAAAACAGAAGCTAAAAGGAAATCATGACTAACCCACACAAAATAATTAAATTTTGATATCCAGCCAGCATGAAATTTCAAATTTTTATGAGAACTGTAGTTTTCCTTTTCTGGTTAGAAACATTGAGTCTGTAAGGAGGCTAGTGATACCTTTCATAAAAGAATATTCCATTTTGTAATAAAGTTAATTTTAGGACTCACTTAACTGATAAACATAAGAAATTTAGGTTTATAGTTAGGAATTCATTTATGACATTTTCCCTTATAAGAAACTGCTTAAACCCATAGTTCTGCAAACGTAGCTATTTCGTCTATTACGTAATTGATCATAGGAAACCCCCTATTGTCTCGTATGCTCTGTGTTCATGACACAGCAACGATAAGCAGTATACCGTTCTATTGTTTTGAGTTTCTGCAAGGATTATCACGCATAGATTAGAGTATTCCTTGGCCTTCTGGAACTCTGTAATAGCCCCGACCTCAGGAATACTTCTGCAGAGTAATGCCTGTAAACTATACAGTCCACATCTATTGTTACATTCTGCAGTGTAATGATCATGCAGGTTACCCCCAGATCCGTGTATATGTAGTAGTGCAAACATTTTATTCACCCTTTCGACTTCAGCCTTCGTCTCAGGACTTTGGCGTAGCCTTTGGCATTTATTTTGCCATTCGGCACACGTATGAAATGTAGGCTATTCGCATTTCAGTTAAGTATGTTAGTTAAGTCTGGGTCAAGACAGGCAGGCGCAATTGTCTTGAGAAGGCTCTTGTGGCCCTGAATCTACTCACATGTCATGGAGTATAAATGTTGAGGTTAGTGAATATAGATTATTTGCGTACCAGGTTGGAGCCTAATGTTTTGCTTTTTTCCTGTTTAGTGCTTGAGAAGGGCTGCATGGATGTTGACATTCATTTGTCATGTAATTTAGTGTTTTAATCGTGACTGCGATCAGCGAGAATAGACCTAGTACTTGGAAAGAATATTTGCAGGAAATAACGATTTACTACAACTTTTACATAAGTCCATTTTTGTCTTCTGCATGCTCATGGTTCTACCGCTCGACCATCGATAAGCACAAAACAGGCAGATCATCGTCGTCGCAAAAAACCAAACCTTTTACAATAAAGCTAGAAATAAAAGATTTGCTCCAGGAGAAAAAGTGGATGGAAGAAAGTGTCATCTTTTGTTCTTTTTTCTGTCATCCTCAGACCAACCATCCTTTATGCTGAATCAAAGTAATGATAAATTTTTGCAGATTTGAGAAGAGAATAATTGGTTTAGGTTTTTTATACAGAAAGCAGTTTCTTTATGTTGACGACTTGGTTGTGGCAGAATTAGTGTTTCCTTTCAAATTGTTCTTTCAAATGGGTTTGAAAAAGTCTTAAAAAACTCGTTTTAGCCAACAGAAACAGTTATAGTTGTTATCATTTGTTTAATTTATGCTCATTTCACAATTGCATCAAATTAATCAAAAATTTTAGCGGTCAATCTTGTTGTGGGTCACTACCTTCTTTGTTGTGCTTCAAACAAAGGGCAACAAACACTTTGTTTCTAGGCCATAGTCCTAGTACTAATTTCACCAACGGTGCACATAAAAAGCCTATTATTTAAGTCTAGAACGAATCATTGAGGACAAACGCATTTAACATCAATTAATATAACAAAAACAGCCTAGCTTCATTTACAGCTATTGTTAGCAGAAAACTTCACATCTACTGCTTTGGAATACATTAACAGTCCTTCTAACATCTATCTAAAATAAAGCTGTCTTGCAAAATCCAGCGATGCATCTCGGTGCAAGGAGCTTCCTAGACTTTTGCCAAGAAAGGCAAGAACGTTTCTAAACCACGTAACGCCATCTTGTTCAAAACTGAACTCATTCGTGTTCACTGTTGCCTTGGTGAACATCGTCCGCGTCTGTCTGCTGCCTCGGTGGTGCCATCTAGTCTAGAATAAGCATCAAAGTTAATTAAAATGCCGGGTATTACCGTGGTATCTTAGTGGTTACCTCGTATTTGTGCTTGCATAGAAGAAAGCTCGGGTCCTTTCAACACGAGTGCCTTGGAAAAATGTCAGGCTGTGCAGCAATGTACCTCGTTCTGAAGAAGATTATAGAAGAAACTTGTATGGCAGCAATGAAATCTCGATATTTTTTTCATCTATTGTTCTCAAAAAATTGCTTCCTTTAACAATAATGCGCAAAATCTAGATTTTCGTTAGGGCCATTTTGTTGTTCTGCACGAAAATTTTCCTCTTCATTTAGGCATTTTTCGCACATCTAATGTACTGTAAGGGCAGTCCAATAATTTCATTGTAAATTCATGCATTTAATGGAAAATTGCAAGAATGTTTCAGCCCACCTTTTCTGTCCGTGGATTTGAAGTGAGGGGTAATTCTACATCAGGATATTGATTAGTTTGTTTCCTGCTCGAAAAAATTTGCCTCTGTCTTTCATCTGGAAAAAACGAACTGAAGCTACAGCCCACTCCGTTTATAGTCAACTAACTAACTAACTTACTAACTAACTAATTAACTAACTATCTAACTAACTAACTAACTAACTAACTAACTAACTAATTAACTAACTATCTAACTAACTAACTAACTAACTAACTAACTAACTAACTAACTAACTAACTAACTAACTAACTAACTAACTAACTAATTAGTCAACTAATTAGTCAACTGATTAACTGATTGACTTGTTTACTAATGAATTATCTAATGAATTGAAAAAACAATGAACTAACTGATTAACTAACTTACTAACTAACTATCTAAAAAATTGAATAAGCAAGCACCCTTTTGATTCTCTCAGCTCAATTTATCAGCTTCTCTGGAATCAACAAACTGCATTGTTTATTCAAAGTATTTAATCAAACGGGTGCATCCTTCTTCACACCCCACTCTTAAGTTTCATTACCTTCTTCTTGTTGCCTTCTTCCATTTATGTCCTTAGATCCAATTCCTTTCCCTCTTTTTCCTTGAGTCAAACTGTAGCCATCATTGGCGACATTTTTCAGTGGGAATGAGTTTTCACTCGGCAACCTCACTTCCATTTTTTCATTCCCTGTACGAAAATTCATTTAACATTTGTATAAATTTTGCATTTGTATAAATTTAGCATTTGTATAACATTCATTAACTTTTCGAAGGAAAGGATCAAGCAGATGAATATACTACAGCGAAGGTGCTAACCTAATCATACGCTGATATGGTTATGACTGTATTAACACATTAGGCCGTGTCAAACCCACAGCTCTATCGAAATTGTGTCCTCCAGTAGTCCTGTTTTCTGCTTTACTGATTTTCTGATTTAATAAAAATCACTTTGTTAAAAAATTAACGCCCTTGAGTCAATGCCCTGAGGACTTTTGCCATTAAAATATTGAAAGCAAAGAAAGTTACTTTTCGTCTCGTCGTAAAAGGTTCATTTGTGGTATTGCTTTAATTGTTAAGTTCAAAGTCAGGTTTTCTCGGTATCTGGTAGACTGCTCGTTAAGAGCCGATTCTTGAATATATCAAAACCTAATATAACAGCTGGAGGCAATTTTCATTTAAACCCAGCCCGTTTGTGGTGGGACCTTTTATGATATTTAAACATGACTTTATTGAACAAAAATATGAAACAAACTGACAAACGGAGCATAATGCAGGGTTGCAGCTAGCCTTTTATCATGTAGATGACACAGGGCCTCGTGTTACTTGGAGTACCTTTTAATAAAGATGACAGTTTGGAAATCATAGGTTACGCACGTCATCAAAACAATATTCGTTTGAGAACTTGAAAGTGCGTGTCACCCCTCTGCCCTCCTCGTTGCACTGCCAAGACACAAGTCAAAGACCTTCTGATGGAAGTTGCTTTTAAAAATGGAGCAATGCGGTCTATCACATTGCATAGTTTCAATACAGGGTATTACAAATATTAGTGCTTTGTGACTCTCTTAGAATCTGCCACATTGTCTTCTAGATCGCAGATTTCTGATTAGGTGTTTTTACTCCCCCATAAATCGAGAATACGTCCCTTTGTCATTTTTCAACACTTGCGAATAGTGGTTGCTTTACCGAATAGACCTTTGATGCAGGATGCTAAGACAAAATATGATTGACTGAGAATCTAAATCTCTTGGAAACCAACACTCTTACGCTAGGCCGATCTTGTTTTCCTGCTTCCATGATAATCTTAGTAACAGCAAACAGTGCAGCCTTTTGATTAAAAGCACCAAGATTATCAAGGCCATCAGCCCTGCAGCAAAACCTCGGTACTTTGATGCGGCGATCAATATTATCTTATGTTGGAACATGATATGGCTAGGGATCCGCGAAGGGACACAGCCAGACTGAACCCTGCGATTAACAGGCGACAAACTTTGCCAACAGCCTGAGGACAAGATTCAGCATCAAAACATTTATGAGAACTGACTGTTGACGAAAATTTTTGTATGAACCACGCATGCGCAATGCTTGTTGAATGAAGCGAAGGCAACAATGTTTAACTATGTGTATCTTAAAAAAATGTTAAAACAGTTTTTACAGCTAATGGCATCATCAGTTGGAAAAACAACATCATCGGTCTAATCGTCTATCAAAAAGTCATTAAGCTAAAGATTTGAACCACATCGGTAGCAACATACAGTAGGTACTGAAAGTTTCTTAACATTGTCACATTTTCAGTAGTCAGAGATTCGTCAAAGTTTCTCGAGAGTTCAATAAGAGTCTTAAAAGTTATGCGTGAACCAATAACCTGGTGTGGTTTTGCTTTAAACATCCAAGAGACGGATCAAAATTTGTCCGAAAATTTATTCTTCCGAAATTTGAAAAATATGTCCGAAAATATTTTCGCCGAAGTTTATTGTCCGAGATTTAATCAGCTGAAAATTGTTGTACTGATTGCTTTCATGCACATTGTCTTTAGCTTGCGACAAGGGTGATTTGTTTTCAACTTATTAATGAATGTATGCTGTAGTTTCATCAATTTTTTATCAATTTATAAAACAATTCACGAAAAAACATTCATAAAGCAAATGGAATTGCACTTTATGAAAAAGGCGCTTTTATAAAAAATAGCATTTGGACCCCTTTGCCTCTGCTTTGAAAGGAAAAGAAGGACATTGATCAACTCCTTCAGTGATACTCTATTGTAAAATGGCATGGTCACTAACTGTTTGACTCAAAAACCCGGGTCAGCCTGTTTGGGTAAATCATTTAGAGCCAGACTTGGGGCCACTTTTACCCCATAAACAAAGAAGAAATCCTTCTACGAGACCATGTAGATACTGCAAGCGCTCAAGTATGATGATTCTAACATTAAACCTAGTAAGAATTTATTAGACAGGTATAGCGGTCTTATATAATGCCTAGTTTTCTTGTATTCTTTTCTGCATAAGCGTGCTGCCAGCAGTCCTAACATGAAACTCTTTTTGGTATTGAAAACATCGATAGACTGATATGAGTAAGATCTTCTTGCAAAATACATCTGATCTTGCCATGCACCAAAACAAGGCTTGGTATGAAAATCAGACATAGGCCAAGATTTTGTCTAAGCCATGGGCAAACTGACTACGACTTTATGTGACATTACAAGGAACATAAATCATAACCCATTTCTTGATATTTTTCATCTTTAAGAGTCGGTGATTTGACAGAACTAACATCCGCAAAACATTTTTCACATGATTAGTTAGTGCAAGTGTATTAGCGGAGTTGTTGGGCGGCGTAAGAATGGCTAAATGCAAAAATAGCATTAAAATTTTTTCAATACGCGTATTACTGCTTCTAATCAAGGATCTATTTCACATCACCCCGGCTTGAATTTGGACAAAAAGCCGCAAAAACCACGTGGTTGCATGTGGTTGCATGTGAGCTTGATCAAAATGTGATAATATTGTAGGCTTAAAAGTTCATTTTATCGGAACAACAGACCAAAAAGTCTACAAAACAAATTTTTTGATCTTCTTTTAACTGCTCAACATCAACCAAAAAAATTTCTGTGACCATGAAAAGTGACCAAACAAATCCAACCGTCCGCTGAACACGTTTTTACAAAACAAGGTGAAAGAGTTGAAAAGTTTGAACGGTTTGATTGGGCAGTTAGAAATCGATTAATTTGCACTTAGCACTCTCTTTTTCCTGTATTTATCTCAACTTCAACAATTTACATCGAAAGCTCAGCTCAAAGAATATTTCACGATTACTATCGAAAACGAGGCTTAAGATTATAATTAGGTTAGGCGACACCACACTGTTTGGAGAAACAACCTTACTTGGGACCGTACATAAATGAAAATGATTGAAGAAGATCTTGAGAGAGCAAGGGTGATGGTTGCAAAAGAAGATCAATTGATCCCTGTAGAAACAGACGAAAATTTAGCAAACAATAGGCCATTATGTCCGTAGTCCGTAGTTAGCCGCGCTATGTTAAATTAGACTAAGATAGATAGATAGATAGATAGATAGATAGATAGATAGATAGATAGATAGATAGATAGATAGATAGATAGATAGATAGATAGATAGATAGATAGATAGATAGATAGATAGATAGATAGATAGATAGATGGATAGATGGATAGATAGATAGATAGATAGATAGATAGATAGATAGATAGATAGATAGATAGATAGATAGATAGATAGATAGATAGATAGATAGATAGATAGATAGATAGATGGATAGATAGATAGATAGATAGATAGATAGATAGATAGATAGATAGATAGATAGATAGATAGATAGATAGATGGATAGATGGATAGATGGATAGATGGTAGATAGATAGATAGATAGATAGATAGATAGATAGATAGATAGATAGATAGATAGATAGATAGATAGATAGATAGATAGATAGATAGATAGATAGATAGATAGATAGATAGATAGATAGATAGATAGATAGATAGATAGATAGATAGATAGATAGATAGATAGAGATAGATAGATAGATAGATAGATAGATAGATAGATAGATAGATAGATAGATAGATAGATAGATAGATAGATAGATAGATAGATAGATAGATAGATAGATAGATAGATAGATAGATAGAATTCCATTTTATGGTGCCCTAAAGGCACTCTTGGTGCCCTATGCCTGTATTTTTCGAAGTGGATTTAGGGCGCGCTGCCCTATTTCCACGCTTGGTGCCCTAAATCCACGTCTTTGGTGCCCTACTTCCACGAAAGAGCGCTAAATCCACCTGAGCCCTGTTTCCACTTCAAGTCTGAATCATGCGTGAACGTTTTCTGCCTTGTTGCATTCGAAGTGGATTAGCTCTTCAGGCTGTTTTTTATGTTATGTTTTTTATGGTTCTTGGTTAAGGGTAAGTGCTTATTTACTATGACATATTTAAGACATAGTTTTTTTACAATTATTCTTCCCGTTGCTATTATCAGCAGTGATGGTCTAGGCCTAGGTCTAAAGGCGTCATCCTAAAACGGTAATCCAACTTCAATAAAGAGAAGGGGTGCTCCTTGCTAATAAAAAACATTTGGAGGACAAATGTTCATAACATGTGTTCATAAAGCAGTTGTCAGGTAGCGCGGGTGTTTGTTGTGAGTCGTGACTGAACTTAAATGGCCAACTCTTATAATTCTCTCTCTTTTTCATCGGAAACTTGTGGATAGCAGCAAGAGAAAAACTATTGAACCAAAAAGAATAGTTTTTTGTATGCCTACTGGAAGTTGTCTTTGCCTGAATTCTAGATCTATGTGTTTTTGCTTATACTGAATTGATAGGGCGGCCTAGATATCATTGGTGATTGAACGTTCTCTCTTTAAATCTACTTTGGCAAGAAGCTTTTGATGAATTTGTTGAGTAAATTATTCAATACACTAGTTATGTAGGGATTTTACTAGAAAACATTATTGATGTTTTGATGAAGGTTGTATTCTACCCGTTGGGCAGGCAAAATATTTGTCAACAAAGTATTTTGTTCTTTCCCCCTTTGACTGCATTACCCACGTGTTACATTAAAACTTCTGTTGCATGTTCCACAAGGATTTTGTAATGCCAAGCCTAACATAATGCTAGCACCCAACATGCATGTTTATACATTTTGGATTTTGTAAAAATCAAGCCTAACATAATGCTAGCACTCAACATGCATGTTTATACATTTTGAATTTTGTAAAAATCAAGCCTAACATAATGCTAGCACCCAACATGCATGTTTATACATTTTGGATTTTGTAAAAATCAAGCCTAACATAATGCTAGCACCCAACATGCATGTTANGTTGATTGGCTCGAACAAATCATTAAGCCTTTTGTCTCAAACAATAGGAGTGAGATCTCATCTCCCCAACAACTCCTGATTGGTTAATATAAGCACACCAGAACGAGAATGGGGCGCACTAGACCAGACTCTCTATTTTATTTCATATAGAGTGAGTCTGGTACCCAGGGTAAAAGAGTGATTACACGGTAAATGAAAGCAATTTAAGGTTACGGTAAACGTTTTCGACACGATATTTGGTTTTCTCTCCCTAAAAGCAAAACCATTAGCGGAATCAGATTAACCTATGCATCATTCGATGCACAAGAATGTGGCGATTCCAACCATATCAAAATAATTAGCAAAGATTTTAAAGTAATACTTTCCAGACAAATTTATTGCTTAAAAGAGTGTACCATCTTCAAAAACTATTTTGTACCCTTGCGTTTGAGGTATCAAAATCTGAATTATATCAGCAAAAAGCGCAGATCCTAAGCTACCAAAGTCTCAAATTTTTTAAGTTCCTCCTCCTCTTGCAACTTTACCCTGACAAAAATTGGCAAACAATTTTTTTCCCTCTCATAGCTGTATTTGGCTATAAAAGACGGACCAGAGCAAATACAAAAATTTTGAGACAAGGTTCGCTTACCCGACATCTGTCCTGGCCGTGTGCAAATTTTTGAGCCATTCGATTGGTTCCTTGGGTACAAAATAGCTTTTTTGTACCTGTATGTAGAGGGATTATAAGTCCGGAGAAAACGGAATTTTACTGGTTGTACTTACAAGGTTCACTCCCTGGTTCACTCGTAAATCACAGTATAATCCGGGTCAAGTCACTTGAAGCTTTGAGATCAATAAGCCTGTTTAAAGGGCCTCTCCAGCCAAATTTTGCACTTGCATTTTATTGGCTAACTTAAAGGAGTTGAACCTGCTGATCACGAATTCGTTATTAGTTTTTCGATATTTTTTACAGTTTGTGAGATAATAGCTCTTGCATTTCGATAATTGAATTGAATTAACCGACAAAACTTTTTCGGTTTGGTGACACTGTGACGCAATTTTGACGTCACAGTGTATTTCGTTAGTCTCGCCTCAACACAGCATGGACACATTCCGACCCGCAAACTTGGAATGATTGTAAACATTTTATATTTTTCGATCTTAAAGAGCTCCTGCTCTAGATTTTGATGCCGTTATCAACGCGTGACCATGACTCCTTCACGATTCGGTGGAAGATATACGAAATTTATGGCGAACGAGATCCGCACATTGTGACGTCAGAATGTTACAAAACTGATTCGGCTTTTGTCGTTTTTTTCTCGGAAAGGTGCAACTTTAAAGAATTATAACTTCTAAACTAATTGGAATTTTGCAAAAACAACGACTTTGCCATAATACACGCACCAGATGCTAACTTTTTAGTCAATAAAATGGATACATGGATGTGCCATGCGATATTGTAAACGAGACATGCGACCACAACCGCAAAGCAACGATAATCGGCTTAACAGGTCAAGAAATAAATTATGGAAACCTTCGTTTACATATTATGGAAAATTATGAAAATTTTTTTTCAAATTTGGTATCATTGTGTACCTTGAAAGTTCGGCTACTTGAATATGAAATAATCGAAAAATTTATGTTTTTATCCAGAAAACGTTTACTGTAACCTTAAAGATAAAGAAAAAAGTGCCAAAAAACAATTATTTAACGATCTTAGTGCTTCATGTCGTTCAAAGGCTCTTCATAAAAATAGCATATAACAAGTTGTACCAGTATTTGAACATAAGTGGACTCATGCTATCCAGTCAATCTGAATTCAGTCCAGAGCATTTTATTCTACTATCACTGCTCTCTTAAAATGCACCGATGATTGTTACAGTGGTTTAGATCTCTGAAACTATGTGGGAGTTGTAATCGTCGACTTGGAAAAAGCCTTTGACACTGAAATCTTTCTTCAGAGACTTGCGCATTATGGTATCGAAGCCCAACAGCTTACTTGGGTTAAATCGTACCTTTCTGACCGAAGTAAATTCATAAGGGTTTACGGTATTGATTCTAAAGTTGAAAACATAAATAAATGGGGTTCCTCAAGGCTCATGTCTTGGTTCCTTGTTATTTCTTATTTATATCAACGACCTCCACAATCATTGCTTAAACCCTGCCGATGATTATTTCCACAAATCATCAAAGCCTTAAAACATCAAAGAGACCAACAAAGTCTAAATATATGCCATCATATATAAAAAGACTTTGAAAATGGCTTTGAAAAAAGCAAAAATTTTGAAATATTTCATTACGAAGATTTGCTCTTCAAAGTCAAATGAAGTAAAGAAAAGTAAAAAATTATTGCACATAATTTGCATTAATTTTTTGAGTATACCCGTTTCTGAATTTTTATTTTCAGTAAACATTCAGCGTGAAAAATTGGTTTAAATCCGTTTTAAAAAATAAGATAAAAACTAACATAACTAATTCTTTGCACGGACAGAAATTGCGTGTTTCGTCCTGAGACAACTCCCATAGATGGGACGATGCAATAGATAGATAGATAGATAGATAGATAGGTAGATAGATAGATAGATAGATAGATCGATAGATAGATAGATAGATAGATAGATAGATAGATAGATAGATAGATAGATAGATAGATAGATAGATAGATAGATAGATAGATAGATAGATAGATAGATAGATAGATAGATAGATAGATAGATAATTGTTTTGTTAGAACATGTTTTAATAGTTTATCCTTGATAGCAAACTCCAATTTAAGATTGACTTAGGCAACTTTCTAGAAAGAGCCCTTGCTCATTCATCTAATGTAATTTGCTCCCGATAAATATTATCTTTTCCTCTTTCCGCTTGCTTTTGTTAACGGAGTAGCTGACATAAGAACGCAAGAAAATGAGAAGGCCTCGAGGCAATTTCAGTAAGTCAGCGTTTAGTATTTTCCAAAAAAATTATGCTCTAGCTTTTTTAATTTATATTAAAAAAGGAATTTTATGGAGTTTAGAATGGTGGGAATCGAGTTTTGTAATGATGGACGATCGCTGTGAATTTCCAAGTTACTTGTTTCAATGGCCTTTGTCCTCTTTTATCTAAATATGAATTATTGCATTTTAGAGGTGAATTCTCCGACTGATGTCAACTTTAGGAAAGAGCAGCTTGCTAAAGTTTTTTCCTCTACAAGTACCTCGATCTTTGCTATTTCATAAAGTGACACCTAATTGTTACCTTGCTAGAAAGACAGAGATTAATGTAACTGTACCTCTCCCAACAATAATGGTGAACGAAAATTGTGTAAGGTTGACGTCAAAACCCTTGAAACATCAATAAGGTGAAGATGTTTGCAGCTTTATGCTGTTTCATTGCTCTATTTGTACCATTGGCTGTCAAAGTTCAAAGCTAATTAGCTACGTAGATCCAAGTTGAAGGTATTTCTGACAGCATCAACCGTAAACAATAAATTAATATTAAAACATTCGCAATTCTACAAGCATTGACTTAATTTTATCGCGTATTATAGCGTTAACAAAACAAATTTGTTTGCGAAAATATTGCCTTTACATTGCTATATTTCAATTCATACATATTCTCCGTTCTTACAATTATGATAACATATAAAGAAATGTAGTGCAGTGCACTAAATGATACCTATACAAAAAGATACTTTACTGACACTAACAAAGGCAAAAAGAGGCATAAAATGGCTTATTATGTGTTGCTCTTTAAAAGAATAACGACTAACTGTGGCAACTAGGTCACGCCTTTCTTCGGTTCCTTGAGTTAACCGCCTCTAATTTTAAACGAAAGAAACATTTGCATATCAAACTTATGGTTTTAAAACCAGAGACCATTTTCTTCCAGCCTCCTTTTGCTAAAGAAACAGAAGTATCTAAATTGCTGCTTAATATGACTGACTCACCATAAGAAGATTTTCTCAGAAAAAGTGTGATTACGACTGCAACAATGACGGTGGCAACGACCAAGAAATAGGACCTCTTATTCATATCCATAGTAGAAGCTGTGTTGGCTGTCTGAGCAGCTTATAGATACGGTATTCGGCTGAGAAATAATACTTCAGGAAGTAATTTCTTAGACTGTTTGAGATATTAGCTCTGAGAAATCAAACGCTTGCCAATTTGCAACCAGAGACGATAAAGGTGAATAAGAACCGTCTTTGCCGCCCGAATATTTCCTTTATATAACAATCAATCCCGTGATTGTGACGTCAATAAATGTGGCAAAGAAAATTTGTTATGACGTTAAAATGGAGTCACATTTCAGTGTGAATTGGGATCGCGTCGTGGGAAAGCCAGCCTCGTTCCAGTTACGTTGCACAAAACAAAGGTTGGCATATCCTCTTTTGGTGCTCAAGTTCACGATTTTCCTACAAGATAACAACTTGGATTATACCTTATTTTAAGGAAAGTTTATCACTGCACTTTTTTATAAAAATAGGTGATTTTTGGGCGGGACCTTTAAGTAATCTTTGCTGAACACGCGTTTTAATCTAGTGGCTAGAAGATCAATGGATTACTGATTTATGATGTCATGATTGATATTTCATTTAAGGCAATTGCGATGCAAGAAGCCGACTGATTACACTTATGACAGGTCATTCATAATAACAATATAATTGTAACTTCTTCAACTGAAAATTAACAGAAAAATGTTGAAGTTCATTTTATGGTTTTTATCTTTTTTTTATTTTCTACCCAATTTCACTGTTATCTTCAGTGGGAAATACGTTTGAGAATAACTTTTGTTTGAAAGGTTTCGTTCGACTAATTCTTGGATATACAATCTGCTAGTAATTTTGATTTGTTCATAAATTGTTTGTTAGATAATTTAGTACTGGCTTATATTGCATCATGAATGTTCAAGACATAGAGAGGTTATACAGGCCCCCAAGCACCACGCAACCATTGGGCTAGCAGACGCTATACCCCTCCCCCCACTTTTTTGCAATAATAGGTTAGAAAATTTTTACAAAGGTTTATTCAAACTCAACTGTGGAAAGTTTACTCTCACAGATCCCAAGTAGTAGCAGTTGGTCTTGACTAGGAGCCCTTTTGTTCATTTTCTCGGTGTCTTATCTTGTCAAAATATTTTTTATAGTAATTGATATTATCTCTAAGTTGGATTGCTTGTAAGAAATAAGTGGCAAGAAGCAAGTATTTTCTAAAAGAGGCATTTTCCAGGGTTCTAAAAGGCGTGACCCAAAAATTTTCGGTCACCCACTTTTCAAGCCACCCACTTCTAGAATGGTGCGTGGTGCCTGGAGGCCCCCGGGCTAAAATTGGGAAAATGTAGATGCCTGTGCGAGCGAAGGCTGTAAACACTGTGCTAGATTACAGTGCCGCGCAACTGTTAGCAAGGGAAGAAAGTGGATGTGGTTGGAGGATTCCTAACTTTCTTTATCTATACGGAGGAGGTGCACAGTGGGTGTACACTTCTGAATCTCAAGATATTTTGTTCCAACTGCGTGTTGGATTTGCTGGAGAGTTTAGAAAGACTTATAATGGTAAAATGTTTCACTACACAATTTGAATGTTTCACAGCTGGCTAAATTTTCAAATATTTCCCCAGTCCCTGCGCCACCCTCAGAACTACTGCAAGAACTCGTTGGTGTCCACAACCTCCGCTCCTAAAGAGAAAGACGTCCAATTGAGGCATTTCATCAATCAAAGTGCAGAAGTCTTGCTTAGCGAAATAAATTGCATTTCCAACGTAAACGCTTGCAAAACATGGTAATAGTATTTTAGACCGTAAATCTAGATAACTTTCTTCAGCAAAGTGAAATTACATTTTTGTTTACAGTGGTTGAAGTAATCGACATAGTAAACTTCAGGGTCTTTTGCCTTTAAAGCAAGACCTAGTTGCTCTGGTTCCCGAGGACTGGGCCCTCATCATGACTCCACCTTTGACTATGAGTAGGCCCCTTAGGCCGCCTGCTGAATTGCTTTAGAGCGCGATCGTCAACTTTTATTATGTATCCGCCCCTTGAATCCGGCCCAGGCATCAATGTTAAGAAGTGGAAATCCTGCGTCGAACATACACAGGGCTGAAGGCGGTAACTTTTAAAACCTCCCTAAAAACAATGAAACAAGGCCAGGGGTTCAGTGCTGAGCTTCCCAGCATTTTTTTCTCCTCCTTTCCATTTTTTAATTAAGTTTCCCATCCGAGATAGCCTTTTATATTCACAACATAACAAAACCTTCTAGCCATGAAAAAACAAGCTGATTAACATTTTGGTGCTGAACTTATTATGTCAAGTAGAGTCACATGACAATCACATGACATTTGTAATCCCTTTGATTAATCGCTTTGACATTCTTAACCACCTTAATGCTGAGCTATGCTAGTTTTCGTGTAAATGCTTGAATGTTATGTATGTATTTCGCTACTAAAAACACTGTCTCTTCTCTGGCTGCTCAACAGATTAATTACATTTTTGCTCCAAATGACACTTCTATAAACCAGTAAGGCGACAAACTAGTATCTAATGGGACAAGTTGACTGCCACTATTTTAATTGTTAATGGATTTGCTCCTTTTTCAAATGAATCTTTTTGGCTCGTTAGCTATATATGCTTCTGGTTGTACAATTTACACTTGACGAAACTGATAACATGTAGTTTCTTTCCATTTGGTACAGCTGGACCTCTCTCTCGACAGCCGTTCCTGTCTTGTCGTGTCTCTTCGCTTCTCCCGGCCTGTCACCTTTGTTAATCCATAGACGCTGGTGGTCTCTGGTCATACATTGGTCACACATTGGTCACTCATTGGTCTGATCTCAATTGATACACGTGCTAACTTTCTCAAATGATGGAACATAAAACATCTTAATCAACTGTAAACCCATTCCCCTCTCCATTTAAGCACGAAAAGGATAGCGTCGTTCTTTTCTTTCAATTTTTTCCTCTCGCTCTTTATCTTATTATAATGTCGTTATCATCTGGCCTGCTTTCCTGGATACACGCACTAATTTGCGCGACATTTGTGGCGTCAAGCGTAGCTGCTGTTCGAGCGATATGCTAGAACAATTGAATGCATGATTATTTGTCGCTTTCGAGTGGGAATTGTTTAGTAGTTCCAAATCTTAAAAGTGATATCTGAACCTAGTGGATGGCGCTTATGTTAAGTGGCCTAGTGACCATCGACTGTCTTTATAAGACTAGATGTTGCAAACAACAGCACTACCATACCATCATTGAGTGGATTTTCATGAAATTTGTTTGAATAACAAAAGCTGCAGGTATGAAAAGTTGGCCTAAAAAGGGTTATCATTCAGACTAAATGTTCTTCAAAACGGTTAATTTGAATTATTAGGCAACTGAATCCTCGGACCTAACTGAAAAACATCTGCCAAAGAAGTGAAAGGCATTTTTCGAAAAATTAGCCGTTCGAGGAAATAAATTTGTTCACTTTCTTTGTGGTTTTATAAAAATGAAAATGAATTCGACTCATTTAATTGTGTTGAAACGGTATCATATCCAGATTGCAAGAATAAAACAGCAATAAGTAAGATTTTATTCAAGAAAGTGTTTTTTCCCGTGAAAAAGTTTAGGCCGGTTCGATTGTCCTGCTACGAACAACATTTACAGTAGATGAGAATTAAATTCAAAAAGGGTCTGGGTAACAAAAAGTACTTGGCTTAATACAAAAAGCTGACACACTAGCTAGCTATATACCTGCGCGATACCGCCACTAACATATTCTATATACATTGATTAATTACATTCGTTGTATGAGTTTTATAGACTTATACGGATAGGGAAGACGAGTCAAAAAAAGTGACAGCAAAAGAATAAGCAAGTGAACTGCTTGGCAAATTCAGCATCATGCGTCCGAATATGTCCCAAAGTTGTAAATGTCCGAAAACCATTTGCAGGAAGAATTAAGCCATACAGCTGCAACTACGCAGCAGCCACACAGCTACAGCCACTTGCATCTTATCATTCAAGGCTGTGAGCAGTCAAGTTATAGTTAGAATCAGGTTAAAGAACAGAAATGGGGGGAGGGATTATTGCATCGCTATGTTGTAATGCAGTTACCATTTGTGTGCGAATTTCATGACATGCGGCAATCAATTGGTACAATTCCATTATCAAATTATAAAAATTAATTAATATCAAATTTAGGTAACAATACAACAACACTGTATTAACCAATGTGACGTCATTAAATATACTCGATTCTACAGTCACAAACGTATGGTACAAATAAGTTAGCTTTCGTGCAGTGAGTTCATAAACAGAGTGATAATTTACAACGTGATTAACAATTGACATCAGATAAGCAACGAATCAGAGTCGAAGAATTGCGATAACTTGGCTGTTTTCTAACAAAACAATTTAACAAATATCTGTAACTGCAAAATGATTTAGACGAAAACATGAATGAAACCTGAGTACAAGAAATCCGAAATAAATAAAAATGCTTTTTCTAGTTCAAAAATTAACAGCAGTTGTGCCGGTAAAGAATGAAATCTTAAAAAAGTTGAATTGGATGGATTTAAATCCCAGAAGGCATTGCCGTCATACTGTCAAAGATCTTGCGGACAGCAACTCCCAAACCCTCTCTTTTTGTCTACACACATTTTTCTGGGTCTCGGGTTGATGATGCCTCGACTGGCCTCTTAATGAAAACACCAATAAGAAAGGTTTTCCAGATTCCAGATCAAAATACTTCCAGATAATTCAGTGCTTTTGCAAGATAAACGAAGCGACGTTCGATTTTAGTTTTGAAGTTATCACATAAATATGCTACCGTTAAAAGGAAATATATTCGAAGTGTAGAAATAAGTGTATCTAGCGCTAGGCACGATTGGCTCAAAACAAAAGATGTCTGATTTGCAGGCGAATTGTATTTACATTAAACATGTCAATAATTGAAACAAAATATTTACAAATATCAGGCCTTTGTTCTTCAAAATTGCCACATAACGATGAAAAAAACGAATATTTTCTGCCTAGACTAATCAACAAACACACCATCAAGATAACAGTGGCAAAGAACGGAAACAAAAAGTTTGTTTGCTAGAATGGCAGAAAAAATTATGACTTTGAGACGAGCTACTAGCAAGAGCGACTTTTTGTTTTGTTGTAAGTCATTTTTGGCAACTATTGGGTGGCTAAAGCATCCGTAGCAACCCCCCCCCCCCTCCCCTTCCGCGGTCACTAGCTTCAAGACCAGGAACACGAAAAAGGATTCTCTCTATGATATTTGAATAAATGGCTGCATTCATTGTTGATAAGTCTAGGCAGATTACGTAAAATCTATTAATTTAATAGCAAACCGTGTGGCAATTTCGAAAGTGGGCGATGTAATGGCGACTATGTTCCTATGGGGACCGTTTTCTGTCCATGTTGCGAGCTTCCTTATTGCAGCAATGGTAACACAAAACTCCATGGATTTTGCAAAAAGCAAAATCCCATTTGTCTCCATGCACAGATGTTTTCAACTTGTCTCTGAAAATGAAATGTATCATGAAATCAATTCTGTCAATAAACAGCCGATTTATATCTAGGCAAAAATACATGCAAGGATCAAAGGCCTAACACTCTCCTGAAGCAGAGGTTAACTGTAGCGATTAATCATTCTGTCACTTAGGATTATATCTCACTCGAAGGCCTATAAAAACGCCTTAAGATAACTGACACAAACAATCCTCTCCAGGCCAAAGTCTAATATATTCCTAGCGAACCGACCATAAAACAAATGCTTTCAAACTCAAACACATCAACAAAATAAGATTGCAAAAACTGGCTAAATAGGCATTGCCGAAAGATTTGCAAATTTTGATGATATGGCCGACGAAGCCATATAAGCTACATCTTCCCTTAAGACATTCCACCCAGACATTCTCTTACTCTAGGAGTGGGCAATTAAATTTTACAAGTGACCACGTGAGAAACCTGAACTGTACTGGATGGCAAAACCAACGATAAATTTAGACTGCGCAATGTTAATTTTCTCCCAATGTTAATATCAATGTTAATTTTCGCACATGGGCTTCGACACTGACTAGAAATGAGGGGGGGCGGGGGCAAGGAAAAATTTTACACCTATAACAAAAGATTTTGTGAGAAGTTCTATTGTTTTTCAGAAAAGTGAGCTGCCCCCCAGCCCCCCTTCGTCGGAAGCCCTGGAGCAACAAGTTTTACTATACTTCAGCCGTTACTGGTTTCCAGGAAGATATCGATACCATGTCAATATTTAAATAAATATATGAAAGCATGCTGTATGTGGTGGAAAAGGACCCTTACAAAAATATTTTAAAAAATGGAAAGATTTTCAAAATGAAAGTAACAAAATCATAAAGCATGAATATCATAACATATATTTTATAAATTTTTCAGTAATATTCTTATTGACCAAAAACTCCTTTAGGCCGGACCGAAACGTCCTAAGGGCCGGACCGAAACGTCCTAAGGGCCGGACCGAAACGTCCTAAGGGCCGGACCGAAACATCCTAAGGGCCGGACCGAAACGTCCTAAAGGCCGGACTGAAACGTCCTAAAGGCCGGACCGAAACGTCCTAAGGGCCGGATGTGGTCCACGGGTCGTAATTGCTCAGTTAACCTGTTTATTCTTCTCTTCTAGTCCGCTCATTGGATTTTGAACCCATTCATTCCCGCGTTATGTAATCTAATTTTGTTCCTGCTTGCGACAGATATTTTCAGACACAAATCAATTTCAAATGGAATCACATATGAAGAAATAGGTGATCCGATTGATGTGGTAATTCGATACATTGCTTTCGCTTTGTGAAATCAACAGATAGTGCATTCATCATAAAAAAGGTGTCGTAAAGAGCAAGCCTATTTGTCACTGTTTGGCGGTTTAGTGGTTATTGAGAAAACTATTACCGCCTGTAGCCAAAATCAAATAAAACAGAAAAAATCATGAAACATTAACTTCAACAATATAGAAAAAGGGAAACACTTTTGGCACAATGATTTACTTGCCATGTTTAATACGTACCACGGAGCTTTGGAACCTATTTAATAATTGGGAGGAGGCGCCCTCCTAGACGCTACGTATTTAGGAATGCAATACTATTGGAAAAACAAAGAGAGGGGCTCATAAAGAATCATCATCAAAAGATAAAAGCTTGAAGTTTAAAAGTGCTACTTTCTGAATGAACAGGGAGGTTGAGCACCCCCCCCCCGAGTCCCCCACAAACTCTCTTCTGTATGTACCTGAAAAGTCACGTTAATTTCCATCCAACTCACAACAAAACAACACGACAAGGAATACGACAACTTAACCTAAATTATGGTGCACAGAAAAGGTATGAAGAGACAAGGCCGTACCTCATGGGCATGTTCATGCGAATAGTCGCTATATTCCTCGTGACGTAGCAGCTGTACTCCTTCTTAGCCGCTTGCCGTCCTATGCGACAGCATCGTTTTCTGTTGCTATTGACAACGCTTGGTCTGGTAGGCACAGGTCCTGCCAAGTCAATGTGGAACTGGAATGGCTTCTCTGTTTTTTCGAGTGCCTTGGCATCTATCAAGAAGAAAAACCGGATAAGAAAAACCGGATTAATATTACTATTTACATGTTCATATAACCAGAGGCTAAAACCCCGAAGAGATCACCAAAATAACTACTCATTATTCAATCTAAAATAAAAGACATTTTAAAAACACTTTAATTAGAAAGTAATCCGGTTTTGATTTCAAAACAAATCAATTGACTTCAACGCAGTAACTCAGGGTTTATGTGAATTTCCCATAGCTTAGAGATCCTTTCAAAGAACAGTTTGAAAACAAAAAATTGTTATTCACTCATTTTTAAAAAAACTCGATACACCATAGCATATAATCAACGAACCAGTCCAAGAGGATAGAGATCTAGAGAATCCAATGCCATCCTACAATCTGCATTCAAATTATAAAGAAAGAGCAAAGCAAAAGATGTCAGTTTAGCATCAACAGCGTATCTAACCGTGTCTAGAGTCAAGGCCTAGAGTTTAGCTGGATCGTCTACGTTCCTGAGTAGCATTTTGAACAAGATGTAAATACGAAGCCCCATACGAAATATTCAACCTGCCTCCTTTAATCAAAACATTAAAAATAGCAGAGACACGAATTTTCTTTTATAAATATATTGCATGTCTATTACGCTGCAGATGTGAGAAAGAAAGCAGAGGGCAGTGTCCCATCGATCTGGTATTTAAGTGAAGGAAACTGGTCTTTAGCATATAAAGAAGCCACTATGCCAGACCGGAATGGCTACACATCCAAAAAACTTTCTGTAGCTAAGGCTCGAAGGATACACAATGCCAAGCTTTGTTTAATGTGATGAGCAAAAATGACACATAACCATTAACCGCTGCAGTAGTTTCAGCGTTTGCAGGCAATTTTTCAAGAGAAATGAATACCGCTATATTTTAATACCAGTTCAAAACCAGTTTACTTGTCTTTCACTAATGCAAAAACAGCCAAAGATAACAAGTGAATCTTCAGTAAACATTTCCATTTAATCAAAAATAGCACCGAGTTAATCCTACTTCAAATCAGTAAAGATTTGTTTACCAGGCTATACCTTTGCAGTAACGGTCTTAATCCAAACTCGGTTAAGCTTCTATTTTCAATCAGCTGCTAGAGGCAAATAAGTTTGTCGACTTTCAATTGACAAATACTTTCTAAAACCTTATTCGCGTTGTATTAACTTAGGCCTCGGGGCATGCTTTTTTGCCGCTCCGACAATCAGCATAAGCGCCATTAAATCAAAGCCTCTTTTCGATTATACAATCCAAAGAGAGGCGGTCAATTTCTAAAGAAAACCTGCCTGTGTAAATGTCAATCATGACAATACATTGTTTACAGTGAATTCTCTTTCCATTTGGCATTTGTTTAACGATTTATGTTTTTCAAGCTCACCATAGATTGGTCGCTGAGCGAGGCTGTGAATATCCAGCAAGAAGTGTGATGTAATTAACTGATTCGCACGTTGTCTGTTTTCCTTTAATGGCTAGCTAAGTGACCAAAAACGGTGACCTAATTGCCTGTGACACCGATGACGCGAACATTTACGTACATTAGAATCATTAGTTACATCAAAGCGGTTGCATTAATTTCAGGAAAACCTCGAAATGAGCAAAGCCTCGCCTCTATTGTTTATTTATGACGAAAAATCGAAAGAATAAATGAATAAAGCTGGAGGTCAAGTAGGGACCCTGGAAAATGATAAAGAAAAACACCTTTCCAAAAAGAATTTATCAATAAGTTGATTAGCTGAAAGAGTTACCAAAAATTCCTTTTGGGCACATAGGGATAAAAGAAAGCCATTTTAGTATAGTTTCAGTGTTAGTCAAAACAGGTCATTCCCGACATAAGTGGCATGTCAGTTCCCAGTCTGTCTCGTATTAACCCGCAGTTGTTTTGAATGAAGCCAGTGAGAAACGTGATAAAATTTCCTATCGTAAAAGGAAAAAAATTATTATACTGTTGTCAAGTCAATGAATGGGCCTCTTCCATCTAACTGTCTCTTCATTCTGAACAAAACAAAAACAAAATCCGCTAGCAAACAATTTGTTCATTCAAAAGATATATCCTATAAGCCACAAAACAGCGCAGGGCGCGAAGCTGACTCTGCACTGTGCTTGACCTGAGTCGCTGAGCCGAACCGCGTCTTCTTCAAAAACAGAGAAAAACAGTTCTGCAGACTATTTGGCCGTGAGCTCTTGTCTCGCTCTTTGCAGCCCCGAGCAGTAGAACTCGCCCATCACCAAAATTTGACTCTATGAAACCAACAAGAATTCCTCAATTTTGATCCACAGAATGTGAATTAGGGAACTGAGACCGTAACCTCAACAAGACACCTAAATTTTCCTGAAATTGGCCGCTTTTGATAAAGCAGGTATAACTTCTAAAAGAATGCATAAATACTCGTCTAGTATTGGTTTGAACTTTGAAGATTGGTGTGTCATGGGTGTGGCCTAGCTCCTTCACGCAATTTGCACCTTAGCATGGCGGCTGTCGGCCCATTATGTAAAGCAACGAATAGATAAAAGGAGTGTATACTGGGACGCAATCCTTGTTTCAATACCATGTTCCGAGATTTGCAGATTTAAATCCGTAAGATAAATATTTCCTTTGAAACGCTGGAATACAAAACGCAATAGGAGGAGAGCGCGCATTGGAAACATTTTAATGTTTAATTGGCATTTAAACTGGAATGAATCCTCTTATTGTCCAATAAATAGGCATTGATACGAGATCATATTAAAACCTAATGCCATGGATCAGAAAGGGATTTTTGCTAGTGATCATAATAGCATTAAGATTAAATGTATGTTCAAAAGTATGATACAAATAGCATTAAATTGAATGAGGTGGATGCTCATTGATGGATATTTCCAAATCTGCCAACCTTTTTATTACCACATCACAGCCTAAGCCGAGAATAGAAATTAATCCTCCATTTTTGACTGGTAGAACCCTACGGCAGGGGCGTAACTTGGCCAGTAGGTTTGGGGGGGTGAAAAGGGTTTCTGCCCTGCAAAACTGAGTGGTGCCCTGCAGACCTCGTAGCAAAGGTTTGTCTATACTCTATAGGTTACTAGTGGAAGCTTCACCAGTGTACACTGGTCTTTACCAAGGAAAAACTTCTAAGCAATAAAAACAAACTTGACACTTCATTGCCTATGAAATATCTATTTCTGCCTATGAAATATCATATGATTTGGGGGTGCATTATATGGGCGGAGCAACAAAATTGAGCCCGGGGGGACTAAGAATCACGTTTAGTGTAATAGGAGGACCCACCATGGTTGGGTCCGACGTGAAGAAAATTGTTGAAATTATACCTTGTAATAGGGCTAAAAAGCATCTTTCAGACTGAAATTTAACAAAATACTATTGTGCTAAAAAACTGATTATTGTTTATTGGGAAAAATAGGGAGGGGCATGTCATGCTAAAACTCTAGTGATAGACGTTGTGGGAAGAAAGAAACGGTAACCTTTCGTTTCAGACTGCACATAGTTGTGAATGGCAGAGGAAGATGTTGTTTTAATTTGGGAGAATTTTTTTCCTGAACAGAAATGTGCAGTTTCTTGTATCGAGAAGGCCATCCAAAATTAAAACATTGCAATGATACAGAAATTGATTTACTGAATTAATGCAAATAAAAGAAAAAAAAGAAAAAGATATGTGAAAAAGTTAACAATTAGATAAAAAAATCGGCATCTTAACAGTTTACTCTCTTTTTATTTCATGCACTGTTAAAAATTAATAGAAAAAATTATAAAAAAGTTCTTATCTTGACCAAAGTGAGGGCTTTCAGCCCCCTATTCCCCTCAGTGACGCCGTGCCTGTCATGAAAATAATTTACAACTTAAATTAATCTATATGGACTCAACCTTGCCCTCATAAACATATGCATCAATCATTGCATCCATTGGCTATGACTTTCGGTAAGACATGCTTTCGCTTTGCAAATAGCGGAGCTTTTCCTTACATACCTGTTCCGTTCTCTAAAATGCAATATCAGAAAAGTTGGTTCATAACAAATATGATATTTCCATTTCAAAATTCCTAAACGGCCCTTTACGAACTTCAGAGGTGACATTTCTGCGTGGCAACAAAGCTCTTCTTGGCGCCCTGCGAAATCTTCGATTGCCCTGCGAAATCGACTATTTTTTAGATTGGGGGGGTGTCACACCCCCCCACACCCCCGATATTTTCGCCCCTGCCCTACGGAGAAGTTCCATTAAACCAGCTGCCTATCATTTTTATTTAATGAAACCTTTGTAGCTATTTCGGTGGCACCTGAAATATTCATAAGGGCATTAAAACTTGTTGTCAGCTGTGTGAAACTCTGTTGTAATTTAATTATAATTTCAAATGCTTCTGCATGATCTTGCACCGCTCACAGTTTACTGGCTACAGCCAGCATATCCTAGTGTTGCCAAAGCTACCAAAAGACCATGGATCTGATTTCCTGATACCAAAGATTTACACACCAGAACAAAGCTCTATGTGGGGCATAATTTAAGGCAGATCTAGAAATTTAAAAATAAACATACAAAAGAGAGAAAAATTAATCAAGACTATATGCATTTCTTTCTCGTTAGATTAAACATTTTTCTTGAGGGATTTTCAAAACAACAGGAAATCTGGATAAAATTGTTCAAAAATTATATTTCTTAGGCTGAATTCACAAATTTTGTATTTTGTTTGCTATCTTTCAAACTCAATAATTCTTTAAACTGGGGTTCAGTAAGAATGGGACACAGTTAATCAAAGAATGAGTTTTTCAACATAATTTTTCTAAAGTGGCAAAAGTATTAGTTTTCAATGCTACTTTGGTTTAAAACTTTTACTGATCTTTTAGAATCAGCAAAATTATGAAATAGTTGTTCTATTCCTAAACTGTGTCACTTGGGTGCTAGAAAACCCACACCCACGGGACTTGAACTGTGCAGTATCTGCATTTTGTCACCAAATTATCCTCACTGAGACAACTGAGACCTTTGTCACAAGAGCAATATTGTCAAAGGCAAGTCTCAAAGACCCCCTACCCCCCTTCACCACCACCAAAATTAATCCACAGAAACAGGATTACAAAAATTGGAAATGTCACCTCTAGTGTGCTACAATTAGGTGAAAACCCAGTTAATTGAATAGCTAAGTAATACAATCTATGAAAAGTCTTTAAGTGATAGGAAATGACCTTTAAATGTAAAAATGAACAGAAAAATTATCATTGTACTATGTTTCCTTCCATAAAATCAAAAATTATAAATGAATCCTATAAACTCTCTAAATATCCCCTGTGTATGGATGTTTCCTTTGTGTAGATGTCAGATCCTCATTAACTCTTCCTTCCTCAATAAATTCCCATCCTCAGTGTTCAGTTTAAAAGCTTAAGTTTAACAAAAGTAAAATTTCTAGTAAATTCAAATCAACATTAGGATTGAAATATCTACTGAAAATACTTTAATCACAAAAATGGACAAGGAAATTTTATGTCCTTTTACACAGAACTTCAACTTTATGAAAAGACATGACTCACCTTGACCAAAAACAAACGATGACTATACGATGTGGTGATTCACGTTTCATTCATTAAAAGAGGTTGTTGTCGGAGTTTACAAATCTTTCAAATCAAAACAGGATTTCGTTGGCAATATGTAGGATTATGGAGAAACACGATCGAATTCTTTCCACGAGGAACGTTTGAGGCAAATTTTCAAAATCACATGTCAGAAGCACAAGAAAGGATATAAAAGAAAATTAAAACTGAAAACTGAGGTTATGTCCACCAAATTGACGGAGAACACTACTAAACCAAAGTCACAACCTTCAAGCCAGCAATCGTGGTTGGGTGAAACCACTAAAGGCCAACTGGGGAGCATGTAAACAGGGAAGTGAGTTTCGGTAACCTCTCCATCATTGATGCCGTGATATTTTGAAACCATGAGAAATTGTCAACAAGCTCCATGACAACACGGAAAATTATTTTGATTTTAACTAAAGAATGCATTTGAGGTTCAGGTCAGAAAATCAATAAACTGACTTTTCTATCAAAAAAACGTCGGTTAATTGAATAACAATATCAATAAATACCACAGATTTGTAAATAAACACCTAAAATTCACACGTGAAATAAACGTCGAGAGAGCATACCCGAATTCCTTGGGATTCCAGCCAAAATCAAAACTGGACAAACTAACATTATCACTTTGAAAAACCACCTCCAGGACATTTTCCTCGCAGATTTGTTGCTCTTTTCCTGTTTTTGATTCGAAGGGAAAATTGTTGCCAGCTCGTTAGATCTGAATCGCAAGTCGAATTTGAAAACTTTTCCAGAAAAGCTTTTAGTCTCTAATCAAACGCAACAATATTCTAAATTACGCTAATCTGCAAACTTTCTCCTACAACTGCTATCATGAATGAATCTCTGGTAAATGAAATATCCGCCTCTATTTATGTGATTTGATTTGATCCGAACACCAATCATGCGACATGGCGGTCAAGAGCCCATATTTTGGCCTCTTCCTGACCCCAAGCCCTTCCTAGCAACCTCGCAACAATGCAACGCAGCCACAGCCAAATTCATTGAGATGGTCAAAATAAAGTTGACGAGGAACCATTTTAAAAATGAGGTAGACTTTAAAAATAGCAAACAGAGCCTCAGTATTATCAAATATGTCTGTTTTTGAGCCCAAAATTATTCCCATATCATTCTTACGCGACAATAAACGTTAATTTGGCAAGAATCGAGAAAGAGAGTTTGAATCTTTGATTCTGGCTCTATTGCAAAGGAAAACATTCTAGAAATGAAACATTCTATCCCAATACAAGCTTGATGAGCTCTAACATAAAAGTCACGCTTGTCATTTTTCTTCAAAAGCGCTGATAAATTAAAAAACTAGCCTGTCGATGACATTTCGAGCCTGGCTATTACTCTTAATTAATTATTAAATTTGGTAGAAAAGGCTGTTTCTAAAATGAAGTTTACAGAAGATCCCAACCAATATAAACGACATAGTCTTCTGAATTTGAAAAGGTTACGCCCCAAGACCCCTCCCCCTTGCACAACAGCTGGTCACTAGAGGAAAGCGATTACGCCACGTGATTTGTGACATTCATTTCGAAACATAGAAGGACAAAAAGACTCAACCGAGAGTCGAGACGAGCAACCGAGACATAGACGCCCAAAACCAAGTAGCGTTTCGCTCTTTGAATATGATTCTATGTAGTTTCGCTACAATGATGTTTCGCAACCCATGTATATTAAAATGAAACAATCGCTTTATTACTCGCTTTGACATCTTATTCTCTCACCTAAACAAGAGGCAGGAACTTTTCTGGAGTTTCGCTTCTATCATGGGACGAAACCTTAACCCAGAGCAGAATCATTCATTTGATCCCTCTCAGTTATAGAACATTAAAGTTGACCAACACAAACCAAGTTACCTATAATTCTTATTCTAAATTGTTGAAGTTTGCAATGATTCTCCTTGAATACACATATAAATTTTTAAATCCTGGCAATGAAAAAGGAATGTTGTGTGACTCTTTAAAGCGTGCTTGCTTCACTTCTGGAAACATACCAAACGTTTAATATCTCCCTTTTCTTACCAAAGAGAATTCTTTCACGCAATCACGGAATTTTTACAAAATATCCACGGAAGTGGCAATACAATGCCTTACCAAAAAATGCGAAAGCAAAAAATTTAGAGTTGTGTTTGTTTGGGAGCTGCACGCAAGGGCGTAGCTAGCGGGGCTTTAGGGGGTGTGACACCCTTCCCCTAAAATACTTCATGATGTCATCTGTAAATATTCAGCTTGTCTTCAAAATCCTTAGTTTGTCAGTAAAATCATGTATCAGTAGATGAAATAGCACCTAAATTCTTCTCCATTTATGTCTTCGTCGGTAAATTCGTCTATTGATGACCCTCCGTCCCCTTGTCTAGAAGGTCAAGCGACGACACTGCATGATATTTAGGAAAACAAGATAGAATTTCGTTTTTCATACTCTATATTTTGCATAGATGCCTAAAAATTTCCATTTTTAGCAAAAAGTCTCGAAAACACATCTATTTTGATCATAAGAATTTTTTCAATGTAAATAACTTCTACTTAAGGATATTTTTCCTTTCATTCTATCAAGTAGAGCAAAGGGCTTTCTATTTTCAGATGTAAGATGTTTCCATTTCAGTTACAATATTTCCGTTACTGAACAGAGACAAAGGCCACCTGCAAGCAAAAAAAGACAGACCTGAACAGTTGGCATTATTGATTTCGAGTCTTTGAAATAATTTTAGCCCAAATCTAAGAATGTAAAAGCCACTAATCGACTTATTGAAGTACCATTAACTAGAGTGCAAAGAGACACCCAACCCTTTGAAGTATCCACCAATGGCACAACATGTAAACCAAGACTGGACACAGAATTTGGACAGAGGGCAATTGTCGAATAAGGCTTCCTCGGAGAGCATTTCTCTGGTCTTATAAACGTTGAGCAACACAGAACTTTCTTCACGCCTTCTTCGAAATGTTTATTATGCATTGTTTTGCTGTACTGACGTCTGCATAATTCTCTGCCACGTTGCAGATTTTCATATTTGATTTTTCGTCTGGATTTCAATTTATCATGACCACCTGATTTGAGACACTTTTTCCTGATCTGAGCAAAAAAAGTCCAAACTATGTTGCATTCAATAAATCCATCAAATTTCATTCATGGAAGTTATGAATATCATTACTGACTTATAAACATTTTATTATATTCTCATTAGTTATATATTAAACTAGTAATGAAATCAATGTTCAGGGTGGAAATTAAAATAACAACTGAACAGAATTAAGCTTACTCATGATCCCATTCTATAAATCCTGTCTATTTTCCCAATGCTATCGATGACAAGACCCCAAGTCATATCCACGTTTCTGATGACCTCTCATAATAAGGTTGCTTTTCGTAAATGTAATATTGTATAGGTCTTTTTGCTGTTTTTTCGTGTGTTGTAGCGGGATAGTGTGATTGTAAAGACCGCTGCATTTCCATTTTTGTTTATAACAGGTTGTGCTGTGGGAGAATGCAGGACAAACTCGTCTAAGAAAGGTAATGTTGTTGCTCAAAGGGGATGTGTGCTGCTTCGCAGAGACAATTCTTTTTCATGCTTTGTGCCAGGATTTTCAACACGCGTGTGGGTGTAATTGTTCATGACAGCTTTGTCTCTAAAGATTTGATTTTCGCACTATAATAACGGTCGAGGGAGAGGTGAAAATAGGCCACAGATGTTGACCTTTTTTACGTGCAGTATGATAACTTCGCTCAATTCTCTATGTTGGAAGGACAATCGCTGGACTTTGCACATACAAAAGGCTTCTTGCTAAATTTAGTGTTCGCCTTGACCCTACCTAAGAGCATTTGGACAGTGACACCAACAAAAGAAAAAACAAGTGCTGGCTAGCTTCTTTGATGGATTGTTGACCCTTTTTTGGAGAGACTTCAAAAAGCCTCCTAAAACTGATTGTTAGTTTAATCGAATGATTCATTTTACTTATGGAAATTATACGCTTCCCTTCGCACGAAGCAAGAGTTTCCTTGAAATATGAAACGTATTTTATTCTGTAGCCACTTCTTTACCAGTTTCAGGCCATTATGTCATTTATGCTGATCTAATTTGTTGCAATCAATCTATCAATCCTAGCTTCGAGCTTGGTGAGCAACATGACCTGGAGGCTACCTAAAACATCACAACGAGGCCAAGATTTCCTTAACTGTTGTTTAGTTCAATTTTTTACCAGCAAACTAGCTTCTTCTTTGCTTTTTGATGTTTAAATAAGGGACCTATCAGCTGGGAACTTTAACGAAATTGCGATGCTTGGGTCAAATTCCATGGGATACTTAACTGTAAATTCTAATGAACAACCTAATTGCATTTGAAGGCTGTTGTAACATTGAGAGTATTTTTGACGGGAATGAAAAGATGTTGTTGTCTTTACTGACAGGCTTACTGGCCTTTCGTTCTCTTCTATGGTTGTTTTTTTGTCTTTCTCTTTTTTGCCCACCAAAATGATTCATAGTTGGAACTTATAAGAATGAGACAGCAAAACGTGGCCTTCTCTATTGGGATTTCATATCAAGGAATATTCTACATGGCTCTCACAATTTTACTTCTTTAGCTCGAACATATGGATACCATATCCCTCAAATGCAATATCTTATTGGAGTCGTTTGACAAGATGGGGAGGGACTTTTGATGACCTGCCTGTTTGAGAGCAAGTGACAGACAACAGAAACGAACTTGAAACAATATTTCTGGTAGAAAGTAGCTGCCTTTTTTATATAATTCCATGACATTCCAGGACATGCGCAAACTGTTTCATATAAAAGCTTAAAACCTTTGTATAAATGCGAAAAACAGTTTGATATAGCTCGGAATTGGGCATCTGTTATCATATACATCTTAATTGAACGTGAGCCTTTCTTATCTTTACAAGCTCAGTTCTGAAGTTTTTGGCAGGGTCGCCAATACAGGGAAATACCTGAGAATAAATATTCGCGAGCTTAATCAATGATAATTAAAATTGTTTAAAAACGATGCCCCTATCTATTGCCACACCCATTTTGTCGGCAAACCACTGGTTTTTCACCCCTATCCCCCCCCCCCCCCCCACTATGAAAAATTCTAGCGACGGCCAAGGCTTTTGGCATTTTTTTCATCTGCATCATCTCAAAAATGTACGTGCACTTTGTACATTAATACAATATATTGTCCTGCTCTCGACAATATTTGACCTCGGCCTGTACTTTTGCACGGTCATTAATTCTAAGGATTAAACTGTATTGCATGGTATAGATTCCCACGTTCTGTTTTGACTTTGTAAAACTGATCTTCTTCTGGTTGGGTTAACAGTTGAGTCATAAGATGAATGTCCCAACGAAATCTACAAAGACTTTTGCATTTACTTCTTTAAAAGGCTGATACAGAACTAAATATTAAACTACCGTATGAGTCAATGCGATACAATACCATACACTACAGTATAATACACTACAATTAATACACTACAATAAATACACTACAATAAATACACTACAATAAAATACACTACAATACAATGCACTACAATACAATACACTGCAATACAATACAATACACTGCAATACAATGCACTACAATACAATACAATGTACTACAATACAATACACTGCAATACAATACACTACAGTAAAATACACTACAATTAGTAGACTACAATAAAATCCACTACAATGCAATTCATTACAACAAAATACACTACAATACAATACACTACAGTAAAATACACTACAATAAAATACACTACAATACAATGCACTACAATACAATACACTACAATACAATACACTACAGTAAAATACACTACAGTAAAATACACTACAATAAAATACACTACAATACAATGCACTAAAGTACAATACACTACAGTAAAATACACTACAAT